GAATGAGAATGAATCAGGGAAATGTAAGAAACTGGTACTATTAGTTAGGCTTAATGATGACTCTGTGGCTGGTCTGTGTTGCCCTGCTGCTGGGTTTACAGCAGGCTTACAGCAGGTGATGGGTCTGCAGTGAAGAGGCCTACTGGATCTGCCTCAGTATTCAACAAGTGGAAGAAATAGGATTGGTCAGGGCTAATGTTTGAAGACAGGAATGATAGTTGAATTTTATTATACTCCTTTCTTTTTTTTTTTCTTTTTCTTTTTTTTTGTCTTTTTGAAGCAGAGTCTCCCTGTAGCCCCAGGTGTCCTGGAACTCACTATGTAGACCAGGCTGGCCTTGAACTCACAGAGATCCACCTGCCTCTGCCTCCCGAGTGCCGGGCGCCACCACGCCCGGCTACTCCTTTCTTTTTAAATATATACGATTGAGATTTCTTCTCAGGAAGAAAATAAAAATGTAACCCATGTATCCAAAATTCTTGTCAAAAACCTTCACTAAACCACCCAGAATTATTATTCTTCCTCCTCCTCCTCCTTCTTCCTCCTCTCTCTCTCTCTCTCTCCCATTCATCTGATTTGATGAATACCTTCTGCAACTCTTTCTTAAAAAGCCCCTTCCACCCTTTCAACAATGGGTATTGCTGTCCCCTTTCTGCCTGGCTTACCAAACCTTTTATACTTTGTGAGTCTGGGTCTATGTAGCTCTGGATGGCCTGGAACTTCCAGTGTAGAACAGGCCACCCTTGCACTCAGAGGCCTCCCTGCTTCTGCCTCCATTGTGCTAGGATTAGAGGCGTGCACCACGTCCGGCCATAAACTTTTAATGAACTCCAACTTACACACACACACACACACACACACACACACACACACACACACAGAGTCTAGTCTCCAAACCAGTTACCATTCTCTTACAGCCCTAAAACCAAAACACAAGGCTCTGTCATCTTTTAATTCTTATCAGCTAGCCAACAGCGACGTGAGCAAAGCCAGTATTGCAATTTATAGCTAAAATTATTAACTTCAAAATCACTCTTGCTCGAGCCACGATGAGTTAGCACAGGCTTGGATTCGTTTTAAATTTGCTTTGCTGTCCCCCTCCCCTTTTAAACTAACTTTCATGGCCCAGGCATAAAGGTGTAAAGTAACAGATGGTTGCTGACTCCGAGAAGTACTCTTGAATGGAAAGGATAAAAGACCTCAATCGATGTGACACACAAAACTTGCTCTCCAAATTTCCGTAATAAACTCACACACACTCCCACTCCCTCCCCGGGAGAGGCCTTTCGGAAGCTGCGACCCCGGTAGCTTTCTTCCCCTCCTTCATTCTTGGGGAGGTGCTAGAGAGCAAAGAAAAACCCAAAGACAGGCCGGAAGAAGGGAAGCAAGAAAGCAGGGGCAATCGGCACTTTAAATCATCGAAGAAGTGTGTCCAAGAGCGGAAGGGGAGGGAGAGATCCGGCGAACAGTTTCCAAGTTCCCGAGCAGCTCCGGGGACCCCACCGAGCACAGCACTTTTCGACTCTTCCAAGTGTTTACAGGTCCTAGTGGAACTACACCCCGCAACCCCCGACCCTCGCCCTCAGGACGCGGAAAGCCCACAGTGCACCGCCTGGGCCCCGCAGGCCGGGCCCGCTCAGGCAGCGAAACCGCCGAGCCCAACGCTCCAAACGCCCGGCTCTCCAGGCTAGATACCGGCGGCGGGACCGAGTCTCTGCCGCCGGACCGCCAGAGGCCCTGCGCCCCGCCGCCCTGCGCGCCGCCCACTCGGGCCCGGCGCCCCGAGACACTCTCCGCCGACCTCGAGCCGGCTCCCGCCCGTACAGCGCGTCGCTGCCTACCTGTCTTCGCTCCTGTTTTTCTGTTTCTTCCCCATCGCTTGTCAGCGGCGTTCGTAGCCTCAAGCCCCCCTCCTCGGTGTCTCACAGACGCACTGTCTCCCGGTTGACTCCGCTCTCCGCTCGGCTCGGGCTTCCTCGCGCTGCCGCCTCTCGCACCCGACTCTCCACAGACCCGCGCACTGGGACAGGGCACATATGGTGTAAGCCGTCAGTACGCAAGCGCATCGCCCCGCCGCCTCGGCGTGGGGACGCAGGGCGCGGCTCATCAAGAGCTGCGCTTCGGGTAGAGCGTCTTCAGTTGGCCCGCTGGCCAGACAGGAACCCTAGCGCCCCCTACCTTCAAGCTGCCGCTTCGCACCGACGCCCGGCGGCTCTGAGATTCTAGAACCCAGAGGAGAACAAAGGGGGCGGAGAATGCAGGCTTGGGGAGCGCGGCCGTGTTCGTTCAGAAGTGGGACTTGACCTCCATTCCCGAGGGAGATAAAACCAAGACAAAAGTTGCGCCCCCTCGGTAACACTCATGAATTAACTGTGTACATTAAAGGAAAAAATGCAAAGCTATCAGTTTCCTAATAAGAATCTTAATCTTTGCATTTAATATGTTTTTAAAACTCGTGTTTAAGAAAGTCGGGAAAGATCCTAGAGTGGTGAAAATGTTTCTGTGTCTGGATTTGGGAGATGTTATTAGTGTGAACTATGAACAACCTTATCGTTCACTGTAATTCATACTTAGAAATTTAATAAGCCCAAAGAAATTGAGTTCCACTGTCACTCGAGAGCAAGACTGGCTTATTTCTGATGTAATTGCGAGTACAGACGCACAGCTTCGAGCAAAAGAACTACAACTCACATGGTCCTTAGCTCCATTTCCACGGAGCCTATATCCCCGAGGGAAGCCGAAGATCCCCGAGCCTGTAGTTCCGGGCGGCTGGAGAGAGGCGCACTCGCCGAAGCTCTCCGCCGGCATTTTACATTCTATCGCGAGAGGACTAGAGCCAATGAAAAGGCAGAAGTGACGTAGGCGCTTGCTGTCACACTGAAGGCGGAGTGAACCTGTCTAGGCTTCTTGAGCTGCTGCTGATCCCTCACTTCTTAGGTAGCAACAACAGTCCAGGTAAGGCAGAGAGTACTGTGACACCCAACTATCGCGCTCCAGGGCTGATGGGTACATCGAGGCTCCACATCTGGCTAGGGGGAGTGTGGGGAGGAGGGCGCGGCCCCTCTGCGACTGCAGAGGCCCCGGCGCATGCGCCCCAGGTGGCGTTGAACTGACGTCCCCCGGAACTGGGACCTGTCCTCACTTGTCCCTGGAGCTCTGGGAGTGGCGAGGAACCCACTGAGACGGTACATGGGGTGCGATTGAGGACCGAATCTCGTGGTTGGTTTTGGTAGGTGTTTGTAGGGGAATTAAACAGTGTCACCCCTCCAGTTCATCTGAAGAAAGAAGACTCGGGCTACTTTGATAAGTTATGGGATCACGCCACCATCTCCTTACCCTGTCTAAAGGCAGTGGCCACCATCTACACACAGCAGCATCTACACATAGTTTTATCCTATAAAACTCCAAGCATAAGTATCGGCCGTGCCCAGGTAATGGCAGGTTCTGCCTTGCAAGTCAATGTCTTGCATTATTTCTTCTGGTCTCTCCTGGAGAGGCACAATCTCAACATTTTTCTTGAGAGGTAGGGAGCATGGGAATACTTTACTGTCTTTGAAATATTGCTTATTTTCCAATTGTGTATTATTTATGCAATTAGGGAGCTGTGACTATGAGGAGCTGCGAATTTAGGTATCGGTCGGTGGAGGTCATTTGAGATTTTTTTGTTTGCTTGCTTATTTGAGATGGTCTTATATAGGCCAGGCTGGCCTTTAACTCACAATGGATATTCAGGGGTGGCCTTGAACTCCGATCCTTCTACTTCTGAGAACTGGGAGTACTGTGCCCAGACTGATTTTGTTTATGTGATAATTAGCTTTAGCCATCAACTTGCCACAGTGTAGAATCACCTCGGAAGAGGGGATCAATGAAGGATTTGTAGATAAGGTTGATCTGTAGGTCACTGTCTTGGTTGCTTTCATGAAGGTGGGAAGACCTGACCATTGTTGGGGGGCACCTTTCTCTGAGTTTGGCTCCTGGACTGTGGTAACTGTAGAAAGGGGACTGAGCACGATAGGCATGCGTGTTCTTGTCTCTGCTCTTGACTGTGGATGTGGTCTAATTACTTCAGGTTCTTGTCTTGACCTCCCTGCAATGATGGACAGGAACCTGGGATTGTAAGTTGAATAAACCTTGTCTCCTTTAATGTTGCTTTTCCCACCGTATTTAGCGGGGCAGGAGGAATAAGACTTAGGACAGTTTGTTGCTATTTGACAGTTTGGTTTATAAGCTCAGATATTTTTAAAAATATTTTCATGACAGGCATGTGGCATGTACCTTTAATTCTAGCCCTCGGAAGGCAGAGGTAGGTGGATCTCTGCAAGATCGAGGCCACCCTGGTTCACATTTTGACTTCCAGGTGGGCTGTGACTAGGGAGACCCTGTCAAAAAAACAATCAACAAAAAAAAATAAAAAATACTATTTTTATTTTACATGTATGAGTGTATTGCCTGCATGTATTTAAGTGCACTTGTGTTGTGCAGTGCCCATGGAGGTCAGAAGAAGGCGGTTGGATCCCCTGGAACTTGAGTTACGGACAATTGTTAGTCGCCATATGGGTGCTGGAGATCAAACCTGGGTCCTCTGCAAAAGCAGCCAGTGTTCTTAACTATGCTGAGCCATCTCTCCATCCCCTAGCTCAGATATGTTCACAGCTAAATGGTAATGTGACTGAATCGAGGCACATGTTTACTTAACATTAAATATTTTAAGTACTTGCTTTATTCTAAGTTCTACCACCTTTGGGAGTACAAAGATGAGTTTTGTTTTAAAACTTATTTTAAACTATAGTGTGATTAACAAGGATAATTATCATTTTTAAAAGTATTTGATACACCATTTCACACCAGAGGACACTGAATCAGTCAACTGAAATCATCAATTTTTACAGTCTTAATAGGTTTTGTTAGTAGAATGGTAACTGATGCTAATGCTTATAGAACAACAGACAGTATTTTTTTACAGAAATTATAATGAGACATCCTAGAGAAATGGGTAGAAATAGAACTCTTTAAGGCAGTGACCATTAAGAAGCTGACATTTGCTCAACTGTGTTCAGTGTCTAAGCAGTTTTGATACATGAATGTGTAAAACCTCAGTAGTAATCTCTTACCTTACAGTTTTTATGCTTCCCTTTTCCTTTGGTAAACCCTGATTGCCAGTTCCTAGCACTAGACATAACTCCACAACTCATTTCTCTATAGTTTGGTGGTGTTCTCATTAAAGATCTGTCTTTGTTGTAATATGGTAAAACACAAACTAAGTCAGAAGCTCCTAAAATTTGCTCTAATTTCATTCAATTCTCATTTGAGTTTTGATTTAAATGTTTTCATTGACTTAAGTTACCTTATAATACATTGTCACCAATCTGGTTTCTTTTCAGTTATCTATGACTAAAACATGTGCTGTAATGTTTCTGAAATTTTGGTGTGAGTATAACTTATTGAAAATTGAACTTAGAAATATTTCTGAAGCCTAACATCAAGTGCTTGTATACTAGTTAGATTTTTTTTTAGTTAAAAAGAAGACTTATTATTTGCCTTTTCTGTTTTGTTTTTTGTGACCCTTCCCAGCACCAAGACCAGGCAATACCATTTAGAAGAATGGAAGGTGATGGATCTATCGACATGTTTTCCAATGTCCTAGAGAAGCAGTTCCTCCAGGCTGCTAAAATTGTGGAAAATCACTTGGATTCTGAAATTCAGAAACTGGATCAGATCGATGAAGATGAATTGGAACTCCTCAAAGAAAAGAGACTGGCAGCACTGAGGACAGCACAACAGCGGAAACAAGTAACCTCTCTGCTCTGCTTTCTGAAATTGCTATCACAGTGTGTTGCTTACGACGTACATGTGCTGTCATACTGGCGTTTCTATCCTCACTTCTAGGATGTTCTCAATTCAAGTCTCTATCACTATTAAATATGTGTCCAGGAATAAAACATTATGGAAGTTTTAAGCGAGATGTGGTATTTGAAGAGCTGGCGTGTAAAAGAGATATTCAAACTTTTCTCTAATCATATACCTCACTTAAGCCCACAGATCAAAATTGGAGACATAGTGCAGTTCATTGTGAGAAGACATTTCAAAAAATCTTTAAGCACCTGAGCATTTTATTAGATTGTCTTGTCATTTTCACAAAAACTCCAAGGAGATAGTTGGATTATCGTATCCGCTTATGAAAGAAGAAATTAAGACGCAGAAAAGCCATTAGAATTCTAGCTCAACAAATGCTGGAAAGGGTATTTAAATTTATGGCTTTTGCTTGCAAGTACAGTGCTTAAAAAAAAAAAAAAATTTCCTGTAAAAGGAAGGGCTGGAGAGATGTCTCAGCTGTTAAGAGCACTGGCTGCTTTTGCAGAGAACCTAAGTTCAGTTCCCAGCACCTACATGGAGGCTAACAACTGTTAACTCCAGTTCCAGGGGACCTGATGCCTTCTGGCTTTCACAGGCACTACATGCATGGGGTACACATATATACATTGCAGGCAAGCATCCACATAAAAATAAATATAAAAGGGGGAGCTTCCGGTTGAGATGACAAGCTTCCTGCCACAGAAAAGGTTCAAGAAGCTGAAAGATTTCTCAGACTTGGTTGATAATCTCTTGTATTTGCTTGGGAAGTTGGATTACATACAGGTTTTTATTGGTTCTGGATACCATGTAAGTAGACTACTTCATCTTGTGTGGATGCTGCTCATTGAGGGCTCATAGTGAAGTCCTTGCCTCTTTGAGATAGTCATCAGAGACAGATAGGGCTCCTAAGCTGAGCTGCAGTAACCTCACTGTCCCCAAGTCTGACTGGTTTTATTTCCTGGGGGATTTTTTGGTTTAGTTTTCGCTTTGGATGGGTCATTTTAAAAGATATAGAACTAGGTGGATGTAGCTCAGTGGTAGAGCGTTTGCCTAGCCTGCTCCACAAAAAGAAAGAAACAAAACTTTAAACACAAACCAAAAACTGGATGTGGTGGCACACACTTTTAGTCACACCTTTAGTCCTAACACTGGGGAAGTATTGGTAGGCAGATCTCTGAGTTTGAGGGCCAGGGCTAGTAAGACCCTGTCTCAAAAGCAAACAAAACAAAAAAACTCTTTTGTAATAATTTGATAATTTAGATCAAATGCTTCTGGTTTCAGTTGTTTAAGAGCACACACAAAAAGAAAATTAATTGGGTATTTTCATTCTATGTCTCTAAAACCTGAATTCTTATTGTGAAATTTCTAATGAAACAAGTAAATTACCAAAACAAGTAATTGTCTTAATCCAACCCATGCTATAGCGAGAGATCACTGTCCACAGAATGATTTGGCATCGATTGACTAGAACATTAAAGTTAACTGCTAAAAGAAATGCATTTCTCTACAGGATGAAACTGATTTCATTGCAAAGTAATATCGTGATTAGGAAACTTAAGATATCAACTGCTACTGAGACATTGCCCATGTGTCATATTTTGCGTCTCTCCAAATTAGGAATGGCTTTCTAAAGGACATGGCGAGTACAGAGAAGTTCCTAGTGAGAGAGACTTTTTTCAAGAAGTGAAGGAGAGTGAAAAAGTGGTTTGCCATTTCTACAGGGACTCTACATTCAGGTAACTGTTGCCATCCTCAGTTGATCTTTAATATTATGAGACATTTGCATAGAGACACTACTGACTTAATAAGAAAATTAAGAAAACTGAAAGGGACAACTGTTGCCTAAGTTGTTTTGTGGTGATACAGCATGTTTGTAATGTTCTGGTTTGTAAGTTAAGCAACTATTATCTTAATAATTAACTCAAAAGCCAGTGATAAGGCTAGGAATATAGCTCATCAGAAGAGCACTTGACTAGAGTGCACAAGGCCTTGGGTTCAATTCCCAGCACTTCAAAAGGAAAAAAAAATCCCTAAAATTATGGGCCTGCAGAGGACCTGGGTTTGGTTCCTAGCACCCACATGGCGGCTAACAACCATCTGTAACTCCAGTTCCAGGGAATCCAATGCAGCTTTTCGGGCCTTGTCAGGCACTATACAACATGGGTGTACTTATATACATGCAAGCAAAACCCTCATACACATAAAATAAATTATGTATATTTTTAAAAGCCTGTGATAGATGAGTATGGTGGCATATTCCTTTAATCCTAGCACTCATGAAGCAGAGGCAGGTGGATCTCTGAGTTGATGCCAGCTTTGTCTACATAGGGAGTTCCAGGCTAACCAGTGCTATATAATGAGATCCTGTCTCAAAAAACCAAAACTAAAACAAACAAGAAGACAAATGACATGCAAACATAGATGAATCTTACTGAAAGTATTCCTATATAAATGACTAACATTTCCTGAATTATATACTAATTCTTTATACATCTTAAAATGTACACTTAGCTGGGCATGGTGGTGCACTCCTTTAATCCCAGCACTTGGGAGGCAGAGGCAGGCGGATCTTTGTGAGTTCAAGGCCAGCCTGGTCTACATAGTGAGTTCCAGGACAGCTGGGGCTACAAGGAGACCCTGTCTCAAAAAGACACACACACACAAAAAAAAAAGTACACTTAAATTCTTACCCAAACAATAATTATTTCTGATTTCTTTTTACTATGCTATATTATCATTATTCCCATGTGCTGGAGGCCACAGCTCATAGTTGGTATTCATTCACTGATTCCTTTTTAGCTAGCACCTTTTGATAAGGAGGCAGTGGTTTGACCAAGCCTTTCATGGGTAGAACTGCCAGGCTTGGCTAGAAGGAATTTCCCTTAGGGCAACCCAATCTGTGAAGGTGATCCTAGAGAGAAAGAAAGCACCCCAAAGGGGTTGTGCTGATGTGTGTGTTTGTGGTGCTGAGGATGGAACCCAAGGCCATGTGCATCTTTTGTATCTTGTGCATGCTATATAACCGTTCTACCACAGAGTTACATCCGCAGCCCAAGAGGTTATGTCTTAATATTATTTTCTCCTTTTTTCTTCAAATTTGATTAGTTGTCAGCCTTTAAAAATAGACAATTTTAGAAATGTCCAGGTTCCAGAATTTTTTCTGGTTCCGAGTATCAGTTGCCTTTCTGGGTGAATATGCATTGTGCCATGGCCTCTCACTCACTGCATCTCAGCTCTGCCTTCTCTCTGCTGAAGCCTGCCTGGCCCTTGTTTTCAGTCTCAGAACCCAGCAGCTTCATTATTAACACCTTTTGGGGATTGATTGCCTGGGATTCAGTTTCTAAAAGATAGGAAAAAAATATTGAGATGTGAGAAAAAGGATTAGGAAGGTGGAAGGACATTAAGCCTCCTGCCTTTGTGGTATGCTGTCATCTCTCATTAGCATATGTTCCTTAGGTTGCCTGCACAAATGGTGAGGAGGTACCAATATATAGGTTGATGCTATTTTTGTTTGTCGTGTCTTTCACTACTAGATTGTTAATTTTATAAAAGCAGCGCATTGGGAATTTGAGGCCAGCCTGGTCTACGCAAAGAGTTCCAGGACAGCCAGGGCTACATAGTAAGACCCTGTCTTTGAAAAACCATAAAATAGTCTCAAGTGTGCTTATCCCTGAGTAGGATACCTATATCAAATTTCTGCCTCCCAAGACTCAGGGATCTTTGCAGAAAAGGGGTCAGAAAGATTGTAAGAGCCTGAGGTGGTAGATGACCACAAAGAAACAGAGTTCTCCAGACAGGTAAGTAGTCATTCATATGAACTCACAGCAGTGGTTACAACATCTACAAGTTCCACATAAGCTCAAGCCAGACAGAATCCCAGACTAGAAGTGGTAAGAAATCCCAACCCTAACTGAGGAACTAGAAGTGGTAAGAAATCCCAACCCTAACTGAGGAACTATTGCCAACCAATAGCTGCTGGGAGCGGGAGAGTCAGTCTTCTTTAAGTGTGTGACTCTGACTGTGGGTAGGTAAAGCAGACTGTAGGATGCTTGGGGGCACAAGTTTGAGTTGATAGGCCTTAAAATATACAAATATACTATATATACCATATATTTATATATATTTATATATATAAAATCAGACATGGGGAAAGGGGTACAGATAGGGGAGTGGGTCTAAATAATGACAATATAGTATAAAATCTGCAGAAATTCAATTTTAAAAAGATTAAAAATAGAAGGAAAAAATTATCAATATCCTGAGACACATTTTCAACAACACACACCCACCATTCAGTAATGTACATATGCACTAAAATATATACAATAAAATGTTGGACCTTAAATAAATAAAAGCTATGGGTTCTAGCTCTAGAACAGAAATGCTGAAACATGGTGGAGACCAATATCTGGTAGATGGATTACACTGAACAACAGGAGTCTTTACCTCCAGGCAGAACTAGGAAGCCAAACTTCAGACCATTCACACTTTACTTTTTAATACATCTACCAGAGTTCCTAGTACATAGTAACTGGATCCGTCCATGCATAGCCATTTTTCTTTTGAACACTTACAGTACCCCTTTGAAGTAGGGTTCTAATTCCTGTGTTTCTTGCATGGAAAAAAGGCTTAGACAATTAAATAACTCAACTACTAAATAATAAAAGAGATCTGAATCCATGATTGCTACTTCTAGATTTTTAGGTGTTTTTCTGGGTTTGTATTTGTTTTGTGGTGGGTGGTTTTTGTTTTTGCTTTTTTAAGTTATTTTTATTTTATGTGTGTACATGTATTGCCTGCATGTAGGTAAGTGCACGAGAGTCATACAATGCCTGCGGAGGTCTGAAGAGGCTGTTGGATCCCCTGGGACTGACAGTTGTTAACTGCCATGTGGGTGCTGGGATTCGAACCTGGGTCTTCTGCAAGAACAACCATTGTTCCTAACCGCTGAGCCATCTGTCCAGCCCATTTTGTGTTTGTTTTTTTTTTTTTCCTTTCCTGCAGTGCTAGAGATTAAACCCAGGGCTTCATGAATACTGGATATTTAAAGTGAACTAAGCTCAGGCATGGTGGTATATATCTGTAGTCTTAGCACTTAGGAGGTTGCGGAAAGAAGGATGGCAGTTTTGAGGCTAGCCTGGGCTACCTAATGAGACCCTATCTAAAAACAGAAAAGGATTGACAAATGGTAAAATCATAGACTTAATTAAAATAGGTTCCTTCCTACAGTTCAAGTATGGAGTAGATTTATGCACAGATTTTCAGAAAAATGCTTCTCGTGTACAATGTTGTCATTTGTTTTGAGTTTCATTTAAAGTTATTCTCTTACCATTTTTCACAAACTCTTAACTAAACTACATGAATAATATTTGGAAAGATAAGTTATCAAGGCTACAGGAAATTTCCTGAACCCAGATCTAGTTCAGGAAATACACCAATTATACAAAAAGCTGAGTAGTAAAAATAACCATCAAATATTTAGAGTGCTAGCCATCTGAAGTAGCTCTCAGAACTTATTGGGCATCCAAATCCCCTGTGTGTTTCCCACCTTCACCCCCAGAGAATTTTGACTCATCTGTAAGTTTTAAAAGTTGACTGTAATAAACACCTGTGGTTAAGAACCACTGATCTAGACTGTTCTGGCAGTCTCTGTTTCAAAAACACTAGGAGCTTGACTGGTTTAAAATAGACTTTTTTAAAATTATTTTTATTTTATGTATATGAGTGTATTGCCTGCATATATGTAAATGCACCCGTGTTGTGCAGTGCCCTTGGAGGTCAGAAGAAGACATCGGGATCCCCTGGAACTGGAGTTAGGGAGGGTTGTTAGCCATCATGTGGGTGCTGGGAATCAAACCCTGGTCCTCTGTAAGAGCAGTCAGTGCTCTTAACCACTGAGCCATTTCTCCAGCCCCTAAAATAGATTGTAATTTAAAGAAAATGTCACTTCCTCTTTAATAAAAGATGGCTTAATAAAAGTCACTCCAGAGCTTGGGTGTAATACAGTGGGCCCAGTTCCCAGCACTGGCAGACGGGAGGAGTCCTTCAAGTCTCCTCTTAGCCCCAGCAGCTTCAGATTTGTCCCTCTTCTAGATGCATGCATGTACAAGGGAAGCAGGAGCATACGTTTCTTTTGTTTTAAATATTTGGTTATTTATTTTCACTTTATGTATATGAGTGTGTCTGTAAGTACACCTATGTCATGCAATACCCGTAGAGGCCAGACGAAGGTATTGGGTTCCCTGGAAGTGGAGTTTCAGATGAAAGGTTGTTAGCTGCCATATGGATGTGAACCCAGGTCCTTTGTAAGAACAGCCAGTGCTCTTAACTGTTGAGCCATCTCTCCAGCCCTTAATTTTCTGTTTTTGCCCCAAACAAGACAAGTTCATCTATTTAATATTATGGTGTGGGCTTTTTTTTTAAAAAAAAAAAAAAAAAACAAATATCCCAGGAGAAAATAACTTTCTAGACTGCTAGAGTGTCACTATGCTGCTCATCTGACAGTTAACCTGTGACCTGGAAATGAGGTCATCTTACACAAGCATAGGCTGGCTGCCAAGTTATGTGATTGAAATAGAAAAACTAGAAAATCAGATGCACAATGATGTTTATGTTTTAAAAGAAATCCGTCACTTTGACTTTTAACTTTCTGTGTGCTGTCAACTTACAGGTGTAAAATAGTAGACAGACACTTGGCAGTACTGTCCAAGAAACATCTTGAAACCAAGTTTTTGAAGCTGAATGTGGAAAAAGCACCATTCCTTTGTGAGAGACTACATATCAAAGTCATCCCAACACTAGCACTCTTAAAAGATGGGAAGACACAGGATTATGTTGTTGGATTTACCGACCTAGGAAATACAGACGACTTCACTACAGAGACTTTAGAGTGGAGGCTTGGTTGTTCTGATATTATTAACTACAGGTAACCTTTAGCAAAACACCTGAATTACTTGAAATGCTGAGTTGAGAGCTTTAGACATTTCTGTGTCTTAACTTTTATTTTATGAAATTTAAGGTCTGTTGACCAAGGTGTAAGCATTCTCTTAGAACAAGCATATTTCTTAAAATATACATCGGTGTGATAGTTTTTATCTATAAATCTGGCTGTGATATACTGAGTTTTGGAATATACCTAGACATTTTCAACCCAAAAAATATTATTGAAACTAAATTTGGAACTATTCCAGAATAGTTGTTGAATTTTTTTTTTAATGATACTGAAGATTGAACCCAGAACCTCACACAAGTAGGCAAGTAATCTATTACTGAGCCACACCCTAAGCCTTACTTATTCAGGTCATTACTGACTTAAGTCTTTGATGAAATTAAAATTTAAAAAGCATTACTATGAAGGGGATTGTGTTTGAGTTCATATTTCCTGTTTGGCAGTGCTGAGGGTAAAGCCCAGGGCCTTCCACATGCCACTCATGTGCTCTGCCACTGAACTATGAATGTCACCAGCCTTGTAGATTGTGTTAAAACTAGATACTTAAATGTCACATGTAGAATCAAAAATACAGGAAGTTCCTGTTCTTACATTACTAGGAACTACTTCAGTTGGAAAACAACCTAAAATCCCAAATCATTGCGCATGTCTTTGTTCCTTTCTTTCGTTCCAGAAATCAGAAGCTACCACCATATATTTTGTGACTTTTCCAGGACAGCTAGGGCTACAGGGAGACCCTGTCTCAAAAAGACCCCCCCAAAAAAAAGAAGAAAAAGAAAAAAAGCAAGGAAAAGTGTGCCTTTCAATAAGCAGAAAGCTCATCTTTTCTCTCCCCAATTTCTCCCTTCACTTCTGAGTCTCCCTTGAATGTGGATGAATTATTCCTATGTTATAGAAATTAATTTCTTTTTAATATTAGCATAAATTAACATTCAAAAATTTTATATTTTGAAATTATTTCAATTTTTTTTCCTCTTAGGTTTTTGAGATAGCCTCATTTTATAGACCCATCATGTTAATAATCCTCCTACCTCAGTCTCATAAGTGCTGGGATTACCTGTGATCCTGTGATCTACCAGGCTTAGCTTGACTTCAGACTGTAATTAGGTTGCAAACTAGCACAAGGAATTCTCTTATAACCTTTACCATGTTCCCAAATTTTAAATGTATTTGCCAGGTACATACATATAGATTTTTTTTTTTTTCAGAACAATTTGAGTAGAAGTTCTACGTGCTATATTTCTTTATTTCTGAACCATGTGCATGTCCCACAAATAAGGACATTTTCTTATCCACAGTGCAGTTATTAAAACAGCAGCAATTATATAATTTACAGACTTACTTAAATGTACCATTGTCCCCTTAATGTGTGTTCTCTATACCTGCAAAATGTGTCTCATTTAGTTATTATATGTTTCTGTTAACCTGTAACAATTTGTAATTATTTTTTAAGGCTGACAGTTTTAAGAAGTATAAACTAATTTGTAAGCTGTTCTCCAGTTTGAGCTGATGCAGTGTTTTCTCAGCATTGGATTCAGATCTTGCATCAGTGTTAGTGATGTCAGGTCCTTCATGCTTAGTGCATCATCTGATGATTTGTCTCATTTTTGGTGATAACTGAGCACTAGGTTAGCTCCTGCTCTATAATGCCAGATAGTAATTTAATGAGGAACTTTCCATCTCCTACATTTATTTTCTTTGTCATTCAGTGATATCAGTATGCACTGTGAATTATTTTGTTGAGTGGATTATAGTCTATAATTTCTCCATAATTCCTGAATGCTTTTCTGGCACAAACAAGGGATTTTAGGGAGGCTTACATCGTGCCCTCTCTAGAATTCGCTATTTTCCCAAGAGGCCATTTCAGAAGCAAGTTAAATTTTTCCCATCCTTTTTCTTTTATTATTTATTTGTTTATTTATTTATTTAAGGCAGGATCTCACTTTAGTCTAGTTGGTCCTCAAACTTGTGGTCCTTTTACCTCAGCCTGCTGACAACTAGAAGTACAGACATGTGCCTGGAAGACAAATCTTCTTTGCTTCAAAACCAGCATCTGGGTGCTAGAAATACTCTCCAGACATTTTTAATAGAAGGGGGAAAAGCTGTCTCATTTATTTCTCCATTGTCATTGAAGAAAAGCTGTTTTTTGTTTTTGTTTTTATTAAAAAAAAAACAACTTCATGGCAATTCTATATTAGTGATAAGACATTCCATGAGTTTTATAGTGTTTTTAGAAATATAAGCATTAGGGGAATTACAGGAATGCATCACAGCAGGCTCTCAAAAATAGAACAGCATTACCTGTCATTATCACTGTAAAAAGTAACACAGGTTCAACATATCCAAACCTAAGCACCCCTCTTCCCCCACTGCTGTTGGTGCAGATTATAAAGTCTTAATATTAATGATAGAACTGGGACTCCTAGCGTGCACCAGATCCAGAGTTCTACCATCTCCATTATAGCAAAAAATCTGTAATAGTGATTTTGATAAAAAAAAAAAAAACATTGATCTAAAACATTTAGTAGTACATGATATGGTGTAAAGCAGCTGACCATTAATATTAATGTTATTATCTCTGACACATACATTTTAAGCAAATTTTCCTGAATTCTGTATTGTTTGTTCTAGTGAGGGAAAAAATTTTTATAATCTAGTATATCAAATGTATTAAATCATAAAGAATAAAATACTTTTAAAATTTGCTTTATTTTCAGTGGAAATTTAATGGAGCCACCATTTCAGAGCCAAAAGAAATTTGGGACAAACTTCACAAAGCTGGAAAAGAAAACAATCCGAGGAAAGAAATATGATTCAGATTCTGATGATGATTAGAGTCGGCTGTAATTCTTTGTGAACGATCTGTTTACTGTCTGTTTACTTCAGATTTAAGTGTGTTTTCTAAATTCTGTTGATTTTAGTACACTGACATCTAATAGTCATATCCTGGCATTTTATACCATTTCATCACATGGCTGGGCATCCTAACTTTTTTTCTGTGGGTCTATCGTGTGTAAACTGAGAGAAACTCTGGAGTGTTTAAACTACCTGAAAAAGGTCTGGAGGCTCTATTTTTGAGATTGGTTTTGTCATAATGGGATTCTGATATCTTTATACCACTCACAAAAATAGAAATAGAAATCCAACAAGCCAATCCAGGACTAATTCTTAATCAGTGCTTGTCCACACAACAGGTCAGGTAACATTTACTGGTGTAAGACATGCACTTATAAATGAATTCTAAATACTTCATTGTGGAATGCATTTCAATAATGATTAAAGACTTGCCCACTTATTCTGGATGCAGCATTTCGATGTTGAATCAGCCAATGGTAGCAGGAAGCTGTCAGGTTGTGAACACATTGCCTTATCTAAAGGATCCTCGTTGCGCACATCTTAAAGCATTCATTGAAAAGTAGTCAAGGAATCAGTTTTGGAATGACAACAGGAGGTGTCCATTGACCCCTCAATAAAACAGCTGTAAACATTAGTTTTTAAAAGTGTAAGTCTGGAAACTGTCATAAGAGCATATAGCAACATAATTTTTTTTTTTTTTGAGACAGGGTCTCCCTATAGCCCTAGCTGGCCTGGATTCGCTATGGAGACCAGGCTGGCCTCGAACACATAGAGATCCGCCTGCCTCTGCCTCCAGAGTGCTGGGATTAAAGGCGTCCGCCACCACGCCTGGCCAAACAACATAATTTTTAAAAAAAAAATCTTAGCTGAGGGTGTAGCTCTGGTAGATCTGGGTATAAGCATGAGCACATTCTTAGGTTCTTTCCCAAAAACTCAGTAAGTCTTATAAGAACAGTATGGGGCTGGAGAGATGGCTCAGTGGTTAAGAGTGCTGATTGGTCTTGCAAAAGATCTCAGTTCCCAGCACCCACAAGGCAGCTAACAGCAGTCCATAACTCCAGTTCTTGGGGATCTGATGCCCTCTTCTGGCTTCTGCAGGCATTGCATGACATAGGTACACAAATACATTCAGGCAAAACACTCATACACACAAAGATATATTTTAAAAATTGAGTATGGCATCTAAGCGGTGACCTCATTCCCTCTCCCTCCACATCCCAATTTGGACTGCCATCTCTCCCCTGGAAGAGCAGACTGCTTGTTGCCCCAACCTGTGGGTGGTAGGAGCACCTTCTGGCAAAAAGTATTGAGCTGCTCCACCATGGAATAGCAGCACTAACCAGGAATAGCGGATGGAGAATACTAGACGGCAGTTGGTAGTGCCCAAGTTTATTCATAGGGTGGAGACTGGAACCCCCTTGCCACGTAGGGAGCATAGGGTCCTAGAAACCAGGCTGCTAGTCTCATCCCCATTGCTAGAGCAGTGACACCAAAGTTCTGTCCAGTGGGAGTGATGAGCTGTCAAAATTGCTCCGTAGAAACCAAATTAAAGCTTCCTAGCACTCCCTGAAAAGACTGCAATACAGAGTGACAGAACATCAAGTGTGAATGCTTTGGTGAAGGGGTTGAACGAGGTGGTGGAGGAAACTGATGTCTCCATGGTAACAAGCCAAAGACCACTAGAAACTTAACAAGAAAGGCTGCTGACAAGAGTCCTAGGGCAAGAACATGCCTGAAATATGCTGTAGAGGGGTTAGGTTTAATTGGATCAAATTGCAAAGGGACTAGAAGTACAGTTTAGTGGTAGAACATGTGCTTAGCAGAAGGAAGGCCGTGAGTTTAATCCTCACTGTGTCAGCATGTTTTGTTTTGAGAAGGGTCTATGTAGCCTGACTAGCCTGGAACACTACATAGACAGATTTGCTTGCCTCTCCCTCCAGAGTGTTGGGCTTAAAAGTGTGTACCACCACATCCAGCAACGTAGGCTTATTTAAAAACAAAATCCACGTTATCAAAGAGCTGTGAATAGATTAAATTGGGCATGGTAGTATAGGCCTGTAATCCCAGTACTCCAAAGGCAGAGGCAGGAGGATCACAAATTTGAGAGCAGCCTGGTCTACTAGAATCATTTCAGATCAGGGAAAGAATCTGCCCTTGGAGATGGAAGAGTCAAGAGTGCATATATGCCCAGGCCTGTACTCTTGAGTAGGACCACATCTCATATAGTTAGCTGAAAGATCTCCAAAAAGTGGATCTCTGAAGTTGAAGGCCACCCTAGTCTCCATAGCGAGTTCCAGGCCAGCTGGACTACAGGGAGATCCTAGCTCAAAAAGAGAAAAAAAAAAAAATTTCTAGTAACTGATCTCCCCATACCCTAAAAAAAACAAACGGGCTGGAGAGATGGCTCAGCGGTTAAGAGCACTGACTGCTCCTAGCACCCAACATGGTGGCTAATAACCATCTGTCACTCCAGTTCCAGAGAAATTTGACACCCACTTCTGTCCTCTGCAGGCATTGCACGACACTGGTGCACTTACATACATGCAGGCATAACATTCATACACATAAAAAAATAAATGAATATGAAAAAAAAGACCAAGGTGTAGAACAAGGAAGATCATGTCAACTTTTATCCTACACACATGCACCCACACACACACTACAACCACAATGAAAAAAACATTCCATGTAAACATCAATTATCAGAGAACAAAATGAGGGGCTAGAGAGTGTCAGACAAAATAGATTTAAAGATTTAAAACTTAGGGACTGGAGAAATGGCTCAGTGGTTAAGAGCACTGACTGCTCTTGCAGAGGATCTGATTCCCAGCACCCACATGGCAGCTACGAACCATCCTTAACTCCAGTTCCAGGGGAATCCAAAGGCCTCTTCTGACCACAGCATTGCATGACACGGGTGCACTCACATACATGCAGGCAATACACATAAAAATAATACATAAAAAATTTTTTTTGGTCTTTTTGAGACAGGGTCTCCCTGTAGTCCCAGCTGTCCTGGAACTCACCACCAGGCTGGCCTTGAACTCACAGAGATCCACCTGCCTCTGCCTCCTGAATGCTGGAATTAAAGGCATTTGCCACCACACCCAGCAATAATTGTTTTTTTATTTAAAACTTACTAGAAATGGAAGTCATTTTATAATGATAAAGAGTAAAGCTGTCAAGAAGCTATAAGAATCAAATATTTTCACACTTCACAATGGAGTCCATAAATTCTTAAGCAATTCTATATTTGCTGTTAAAAATAGGAAGTGAAAATTGACATGCTGGGGATGTAGCTCAGCAAGGAGCACAGGCTTAACATGTACAAGACTCTGAGTTCAATCCCCGTACACACATGGAAAACATGGACAGAATTGAGGAAGAAAACAGTAATAGAGATGTTTCTCTACCTTAATTAAAAATGGTCATGAATAACAAGACAGAAATTCAAGAAAATATTTGAGAGATGGCTCAGCAGTTAAGAGCACCGGTTTCTATTGCAGAGGGTCTGGGTTCAGTTCCCAGCACCCACACAGCAGCTAACAACTACCCATAATTCCAGTTCCAGAAGAGCCAATATCCTCTTCTGGCCTCCATGGGCATTGCATGCACACGGTGCACTTACATGCATGCAGGAAAAAGCATTCATACGTATAAAAAAATAAATCACAACACATTTATAGAACATTTCATTGCACATCCTTTTTAAAAGTTTTTATTTTAAATTATGTGGTGTGTGTGTGTGTGTGTGTGTGTGTGTGTGTGTGTGTGTGTGTGTGTGAATGTGAGTACAGATGCTGCAGAGGCCAGAAAAGACATCAGGTCCCCTGGAGTTGGAGTTATAGTCAGTTGTGAGTTGCCTGTTGTCAGTGCTGGGAACTGAACTCTGGAAGAGCAGTATATACTCTTAACCACTGAGTCATCTCTCCAGTCTCAGAATACACATTCTTTCCAAGAGCATATGTAACTTTCTCCAAGACTGACCACATGTCAAACCACAAACAAATCCCACTAAATTCAGAGTTTTGAAATCATACTTATATAAAATAAGACATTCCTTGAACACAGTGCAATGAAAGTACAAATCAATAACAGAAGTCAAGAAAATTCAAGAAAGTAGACACTAATGTGCTTAATGAAGCTGAAAAAACGTCATGAGAAATTTGAAAATGTGATTTATGAAAATGAAAATGCAACATACCACAACTTATTTAATGAAACAAACAGAATCTGTGAGGAAATTTATATCTATATAGTTATTATACCTTATGTAAAAACTCAAGTAATTATCTTTAAAAAAAAAAAACACTGAGAAGGGGCTGGAGAGATGGCTCAGGGGTTAAGAGCACTGGCTGCTCTTGAGAAGACCCATGTTCAGTTCCCAGGACCCACATGCTGACTAAAATTGTCCATAATCCCAGTTCCAGGTGATCTGATGCCTTCTGACCTTTGAGGGCATTGCATGGCACAGGTGCACTTACATACATGCAGGCAATACACTGATACACATTAAAAATAAATAAAATATTTTTAAAACATCAAGAAGAATAGTGCATCTCTCAACTCTCATCAAAGAAGCTTCTTTTTGAAAAAGATGATGATTAACACAGAGACCCACAGCTGGTCAATGTGTAGAAAATAAGAGACTGGGGAGTTCTGAGCCATAAATGGGACATCTATAACACATCCCTCCCCCAAAAGCTCAGGGATCATCACAGATGAAGGGGACAAGAAGACTGAAAGAGCTAGAGGCAGTGGGTGATTACAAGGAAACTGTGGACACAACAGAATCATTACACATATGAACTCACAGTGGGTGTGACAATATACACAAGACCTGCAAAAGCTCAAGTCAGACAAAATCCAAGCATGGAGAGGGGAGGTTGTCATGGAGCCCCAGCATTAGCTGAGAAGCTATTGGCAATTGATAGGTGCTGGGAGAGGGAGAGTCAGTTTTTTTAAGGATGTGACCCCCTTGTAGGTTGATCATGCTCCAGGGGAGGGACCCATACCCAAGAGTATTTGGGGAACACAAACTGGGCTCCATAGGCTTCAACATGATGTTGAGGGATGGGGAATGTAGAGTTGAATATAAGAGATGGGGAGAAAGGTTGAGAATTCTCAAAGAAGTAATAAAAAATTATTTTAAAAACTGAGAGGAGAAAATAAAATCTAACAGTGGTTGGCTACCACTGCCCCTAGAGACCACCTGCCTGGAGGGCACTGCAGGCTGTTCTGGGAAATTGTGAATTGTTTCATAACCACAGATTTCAAGCAATAGCAAACAATCTCTACATGAATGCAAGAGTATGAAGTTGTTGCAATAAACTGGCATCTCTGTTTCCAAAGTATTTGTGGCAGTCATTAGAGAATGCTATAATAATTGCAAAAAAAAAATAGGTACTAAGTCAAGAAAAAACATGCCACCATGATATGGGAACTT